GCATGAATTAAATGTTTTGGGTGAGTAACTACATTTTGCAGACATGCAATAAAGTTCTAGCAAACAGTTGTGACATTTGCACTCACAGTTTAGAGAATGGTAAGATCGTTTCGAAAAATGTGCCAAAGCAATTGAGAAAACCTGCAACATCCATTGACGTGCTCTCAAAACAAATTCTAAAAATAGTGTTTTTTTTTAACCTCAAAATTGTTTATATTTGTACAATTATACTACTATCTCATTTCAGGGAGGTGGCAGTCATGTGTGACAGTGATAGTGACCTCTAAAATAACTTATTTTTTATAATGGGTCGAAGTCTAAAATACGATTTTAAAGTGTAGGTTACCCATGCACTGCAAAGAACAAATAGCCAATGGATCATTATCATATTGGCTTTAAAACATTATAATATATACATTCTAGCGTAGAGGAAATCTTGTAAATTGAGATTGAAAAAACAGCTTATATTCTATTTCTTGGCAATATACCTGATTCAGTTAATAATAGGAATAAATATCTACTCAGGATTCTACTAGCAGCAGCAAAAAAAGCGATTACTCGACTATGGCTCCAGCAGCCTCCCCCAACAAGAACTCAGTGGGAACAAATAGTTACAGAAATTTACAAGATGGAAAGAAACATTCAGGTTGAGACTGCAAGAAGAGAAACACTGGGGAAAGGACAATCTATATATCAAAACAGAGAGAAGACAGATAAATGCCAAAGTAAAATATGTATATTCATTAATGTAAATGTAATTAGGATCAACGACTGCCCTCCCCCAACAAGAACTCAGTGGGAACAAATAGTTACAGAAATTTACAAGATGGAAAGACTGACATTCAGGTTGAGACTGCAAGAAGAGACTTTTAAGAAACACTGGGGAAAATGGACAATCTATATATCAAAACAGAGAGAAGACAGATAAATGCCAAAGTAAAATATGTATATTCATTAATGTAAATGTAATTAGGATCAACGACTGCTTGAAAGTAAGCCTAAGGAAATGAGTATTATGTTTATGAATGTATGACCACAAATATTCACGTATACATGCTTACAAATATTTGCTTATATCGTAACCAGTTGACCAGACTGAAATTTCTTTTACTTTTTATGTTATACTTTGGGGGAAATATTTATGTATGTACCCATGAAGGAGTGTTGTTTGATTGTTATTGTGTTGAAGTTCATAAAAAAGTAAAAAAACAAAAAAAACATTGTGATATAAAGACATTCCTGTCCTACGGAAATAGGATATTTAAAAACAACAACAGCAGCTCTAGTTTCGCTTGTACATAAATTCTTTATGACTCCAGAAACTACCCAGCAGCTAAATGTGAACATAACTGAACATAAAACCCCTAGAGACTGCAGAGCTCCAAGTACAGTTAACCCTGAGTAATGCATCAGCAAATTAGACTCCATCACAAACAATCACTGGACAGCCATAGTCTCTGACTGTCTCAGGGGACCACGAAGAGGCAATTAGATCCGTGTAAGATGGAGGACTGAGAGAGAAAGAGAAGGAATAGGAGAGCCAAGACCTGTTTTAGAGATTACACTCAAAATTAGCCCTATTTATTTTAATGCATGTTAATTATAAACAATTAATATATTATTTAACAATCATATAATTAAATATCATATACATAATTAATACACAAACACACACACATACATATACATAGGGTGACCAGACGTCCCATTTTTCCCGGGACAGTCCCGTATTTCAGCTCTATTTTTAGTGTCCCGACTAAAAAATCCCGAAAAAATCATGTTTTGTCCCGTATTTCAAAATTCCTTTACGACTGGGTGATCAGAGCAAGTAGGCCTAGTAGTAGCTAGTGTCCTGTCACGCGAGAACAGACTGATCAAAGGTAACTAAGCTTGTCCTAGAACAAAATTACCATCCAATCACAATTCGTTATCGATTAACTTGCAATAAAGTGAAGGTGGGATAGATAGCAACAGAAGCACTATCTCAGCCGCGCGTTCTCGGTTCTGCGATCAGTTCTTCTTGCGCCTTACACACACTGCTGTCAAAATGCCCATCGTGTGGAGTATCTCATGTAAATACAGTCGGTTATGGCTTAAGTGAACGTAAACTGGTGGGTGAAAACCGAATGTGTGTCAGAATATTACATTCATTCTGTCTTAAAGGGACAGCAGCCTAATTAAATACCTGTCTGTCTCATTAATGTTAATCAAACAACAAAAGACGTTAAATACATGTATACATGTTAAACCTACTGTATTAGAAAAACAAGTGTATTTAATATTTAATTTGTATCTATTGTATTATTGTCTTATGGTTTGTAATTTGATTCTTTATTTTTATAAAAAATAACTATGTACAGGTGTAGCATATATATATATATATATATATATATATATATATACAATTTAGATATCATGAAATACAATTTCTCATATCGTCATATGTCTCTGTCGACACACTCTGGAAGCATCGCTCCCCTCACCAGTGAGCCGTTCCAGCATTGGAACATGCTGTAGGTCGAGTCCCCTTCTCGGATCCCCTTCAGTGGTAAGTGTGCACGTTATGCTTTGCCCACTTTTCTAAGAAAAGAGCTACGCGCAAAGACTTCATGCTCTTTTTGAGTGGTTTAAAACCCTGGTTCCGCCTTGGGCACCACTCCTCCTATGTATCCTCTGGATACCTACTTAACAGGGTGTTGCTACTAAGGGTCTGTTGAGACAGTTCCTTCAGCACATACAAAGAGAAACGTGTGGTAGCCCCTGTGTGACAGGCCAAGACTAGTATGATTCTAGGCTCTTGGTCGTATTCCCTTAAAGGAATCTATTTCTGATTCCAAGCCTTGAGCTCTACCCCGGGCCCAGGAGTCTGGTCCTAACAGGTAAGTATTTTTGGGGTATGTAGCCTAGGCCTTTGGCCGTAGGGAATAACATCACTGACAGCCATCTAACGTCCCAGGGGTGACTCTCATAGCAATATGGTAGAGTTGGTACTTAGTGCTCGACAAAGAAGTGAATGATGTGTAGCTCCCGGCGCCTATTTATATTATAGTCGCACCGGTAGTGACATCATGGCTGTCGCCGGCCAACGAGTTGGTATTTTTCAATGTATGCTTCAGACACGGGTCACGGCGAGGCGTTCCCCATAGCGACCCCTAGAGGACGCAGTGTCTCGTTCCCTACTCAGGGAACCATGGTTACATAAGTAACCTGAGATGTTATTTTAATTAAAATAGCTATGGCTTAGTAAATTACATTTCTTAAACTGACTCTGGAGGGATCTTCTCAGCCTTTTTTACTCTTTCACTGGCATGACAAAGTAATTGACAGGCTGCACAGTGCCAGTCTTATCTTTGTAATAGCCTATTCCCTGTGCTTCTGTGACAACTGGGGAAAAGAGAAGTCCAAAATGTCCATGACTAATCAGTGAGATAAAAGATATCAGTTTAGATCATAAAAGATAAAACAAAGATATCAGTTTTTACAGTCACATCTTAACGCTTATTCTTACCATGCTGAAGTCCTTGATCTCCTTCTGCTTTTTGAAATCAATGTTGTACCAGATCCAGTAGGGTAAGATAGCCCTACTGTCTTGCGTATGGGAGCTCAGAGGCACACTACCCTTATTGTAAGAGCTTTTGCTAGAGGCCATCGTGGCAGATTGGATGTTTTGAAAGTACTTTAGGGTCGAATTGGCAAAAGTCTCCCCTTACAGGAATTTAGTAGTGGGAATGTGTCCACAGTACCTTTAAATGATTCAGCAATTGCAAAATTAACAGGTGTTGTAATATTGTTTTATGACTACCTGCACCAAGGTCAGAAATTAACCACAGAAAAAGGGTAGCAGCCAAAACTGTTAATTCAAGTTTATTTCAATTAATTGATGTATATATTTAACATAAAGAGATAGCACACAAAAAAGAAAAATACTCTCATCAAGGTCCCTGATTGTCAAAGCTTAACCCTGGAAAAAAAATCAATTCAAGGTGACAAATATTGTTTAAAAAAAAAAAAAAAGAAATGAGCTGTGTTTTTACTCGGGCATCAAATACGATGGGATGTAGGCTGTGTTATGCGAAATGAGAGTCCCATTTCCTCTGAAAGTCATGGCTAAGTAGATAAGAATACTCATATTATCCGATCATGAGCTGCTGCCCGTCTAAAGCTGAACTGCATTACAGATAAGACGACCAAACGTTGCCTGGCAACCATTTTTTTCAGTATAGACTAGCATACGTTTTTATTAATAGCTAGTCTGTCAGTTTTTCTCTAATATAGAATATATAAAAACTATGAATTTGCCTAAATAAATCTGGTAAGAAGCTTTTGGGGTGTATGTGGTTTCTGCAAGAATCCGCCCCTGAGAAAGAGTTTTGACTGTGAGCGACTGCCCCCTGCTGGCGTCATCCGTCATCACATTGCGCTCGAGCGGAGAGGCGAGGCGAGGCGAGGCGAGGCGCATCGCAGAGTGAAGGAGTCTCGGAGCGGAACTGACGAATGTACATGTGCGTATAGTAAAGCCAGAAAAAAATGAAAGCTCTTTAATTATTAATTACTCTTTTCATGTTATTCCGCACAGAGGATGCAGTCTATACGATGGGAGGATTCTTCCTGGTTTTATGTAGCGAATAAAAGCAGTTAGGATATTATTTTATAAGAAGTTATGCAGCGTTGGTCAAGATAGATGCGCGATCTTTGTGATTAAACATTTTTTTATTCTATTTTAGTCTTTTGATTTTTCCTAATTTTTAAGTTGAAATGGCTTTAGTAGTGTGCCTGAAGACTGTCACGGAGCTTCGTGGAAAGGGGGACCGCATTGCTAAAGTGACTTTCAGAGGTATAGAACAATAGGCTACTTTTAATTCCAGTGAATGTTTTAGTTTGTGTGCATATGTATATTAAGTATCTTGTGTTATAGGCTACATATGTAGGCTTAATGTTATTTTATCTATCTATCTATCTATCTATCTATCTATCTATCTAACATTTTTTTATTCTATTTTAGTCTTTTGATTTTTCCTAATTTTTAAGTTGAAATGGCTTTAGTAGTGTGCCTGAAGACTGTCACGGAGCTTCGTGGAAAGGGGGACCGCATTGCTAAAGTGACTTTCAGAGGTATAGAACAATAGGCTACTTTTAATTCCAGTGAATGTTTTAGTTTGTGTGCATATGTATATTAAGTATCTTGTGTTATAGGCTACATATGTAGGCTTAATGTTATTTTATCTATCTATCTATCTATCTATCTATCTATCTATCTATCTTATCTATCTATCTATCGTGCAGTAGTAGTGTGTAACTTGAGGTTCTGGTGAAAAGTAGATATCCAGTTATTCTGAACCGGCATGTCTTTAATCATGTCTTTTTAATATCGCTTTAGATGATTGAAACCTCCCTTGCTGGAATATAGAAATCAACATTATTGCCTCAGACACAAGCTTGTGCTGCTTTCTTACCTGGTTTCATTAAATGTGTAACTGTAGGGTCTCAATTTTCACTGCAGTATTCTTTAATTCATTGTTAATTTCAAGCGACGAATTTTAATCAAATGGATAGCTCAATAGGTTACTGGGATTATTTTCCAAAACTGTCTTCAAGGTCGCCAGAAGTATTAAAACTGCATAAAGATGTAAACTGAGAAAAGTGAACCAAAATTCTTTGAATTTTTGGTTGTTTTATCTCATTTCTCCTTGTCTTATGAGGCTTGCCTCGAAAATCCATTAGATTTCATGTCAGTTAATTGTGGCTTTAAAGACAGTAAATATGAATGACAAGATTTTTTTCATATATATTTGTATTTCAGCACCTTGGACAGTTGCTCAGCGTTCATCTGACAATTATTTTCTTTCTCATAAAATGCTCTCTGTGGATGTGTGTGTGAGAGAGGGGTTGGGATAAAAATACATATGTGTGAAGTTTTATGTGTTTCTAGTATATAAAAAGAAAAATTACAGAATCGCCTTAGTTAAATGGAGCAGAAATGAGGTAGGACAAAACAACATTTTATTGCTAAAGAAAAAAAGAAAAGAAAACTTGATGCATGTTCTAGGAGTAAACATCTTCCAGTATTAATAGGAATCTTTTTACTGAAGGATGTTTTGAAAGAAATTATGGTGAAGGTCTTTTTTTAAATATAATTTGATTGAGACACTTCAAATAATGGAAGTAATTTCGATGCATGGTCCTGTTGTTATGTACCAATCCCCACCCCCTCTCTCTGAGGGCAATGACTATTAGCTCTCTTGCCACCCTTTCCTTCCCTCCCATTTTGGTCTTTCCCTAATCTTCAGTACCCTCAGTGTGCAGTGATCTATGCTGTCTGGAACGGAAGGGCTCTGAGCTGTGTCCTGTTTCTATGTGGGTTGCATAACTTAGATTGAGTACCTGAGAACAATGAAAAATCACAATAAAAATGTTTCATCAGAGATAGAAAATTATGGAAAGTACAAAAATATTGGCTGTCAGACATTATGAGATGTGATTACTTTGGAATTTGAAAAGTCCTCATAAAGACTGTACATTATTGAAAATACTGTTCAAGATTGTTCTGTTGCTTTACAGGCAGCCCATCAATTTTTATTAAGTCTTCGCCCAGTTTATGCATGTTACATAAGCTTTTATCTATGTCTTCTTGTTATTGTTGCCAAGGAAAAGCGTTTTTAAATCTAGGTTGCGAGCCTTGTGATTTTTGCCTTCAGTCTCCCTAATCATGCTCAATCAGTCAATTATTGTTTTGTTTTTCTTGTCTTGCTTTATCAGTTCTTGTTTTTCTATGACTTTAAAGTAATAAAAAAAACCCGCACCAGCTCAACATTTTGTGATCTACAGCACTATGCATAGAGGTTAGATGTAAATTTTACCTGGGGAAAAGCTCCTGTGAACAGCCACAGCCAGCAATGAGTTTGAGATGAGCTGCTGCTTGTTTCTCTGAGACTAAGATAACTTTGTTGTTTGTATTTTGAGATTACATAATTTATAACTAATTTCGAAACAACATATACATGTACATGAAATAATTCAGCCTAATTTTATTATTTTAAAGCTTTTTGACATGATCTTTACCAGTGAAACTGTTCAACACAGAATCGAGACAACAATAGAAAATGTATGAATAAAACTACTATAGCACAACAAAACAAAAATGAACAAAACAAAGAAATTATTTGAATTGTAACAATATTTAGGATATTTTTCAGTCTGGTTTTAAAACTACACAGCACAGAGTCTGCCCTTTTGAACGTTTTTAATGACATTTTAATGTCTACTGATGCCAGTAATACTACGGCTTTAGTGCTGTTAGATCTCAGCTCTGCATTTGATTTTGTTGGTCTCCTGTTGTCTCGCTTTGGAGCACTGCATTAGTGTTAGAGGCACTGTACTCGACTGGTCCTTTCTGTCAAACAGAAGATTCTCAGTAAATATAGGGAAGTATTCTTCTTCTGCATGTTACATGTGGTGTCCCTCAGGGTTCAACTTTGGCACCGTTACTGTTTTCAATGTACATGTTACCCACTGGTTCTATATTTAGGAGATTTGGTGTGTTGTATCATTGTTATGCTGATGATACTCATCTTTACATATAATTTATGCACAACAACAGGTCTGCCATAAATCAATTAATAGCCTGTCTCCAAGAATTGAAAAAATGGCTAACCAATAATATTCTGCATCTGAATGATGACAAATGATCAAATTGTTCTGTTTGGGCCCACCAAGAAAACTGATCTGAGTGCTGTTGACTTGGGTTCTCTTACTCCATATCACTCTTTTGATGTCAAGGATCTGGGTTTTATTCTGGATAGTGGCCCAAAGCTGAACAAGCAAATAAATTCTGTTGTCAGCTCCAGCTTTTATCACCTTCGAAGATTAGTGAAAGTTAAACCTTTCCTAAGTAGAAAGAGTTTTGGGATTGTAATTCATGTTTTTATTTAATCACATCTTGATTACTGCAGTTCGCTGTATCATGGGCTGCCTGTTTCATCTATTCATAGATTTCAACTGGTCCAAAACATTTGCTCACGGGCAGTCGCAAACAGGACCACATGACACCTTCTACGTTCACTTCATTGGCTACCTATTCATTATCGCATTGAATTAAAATTTTTGTTTTTTGTATGCAAAGTGTTGAACAATCTTGCTCCTCCTAAGTAATGAATATTTATGTATTTAACTTTCTTGAGCATTGAAAGATATCTACCAGTGTGCTTCAGCCAGAAAACATGCTAACTGCTCAGGTGCAATATCTCTGTTCAAATGTTTGTGTACGGCTTGTGTATGTGTGCATAAATTGGTGTGCAAATGTATTTGTATTGACAGTTCTTGTTTGCACATGCACACACTGACAACAAACAACAAACACTGGTCTGTAATAAACAGGTATTTTGGTCAGAGTAGAAGCAAAGGGTTGAAAAAAGGAGTTTCTTGCTTTCCTTAATATCTTTAACCAACTCCACCCCATCTATAAAGCAGTTTCACACTTCACCGTTTTACTGCGTTGCAGTTTTATGATAATGGTAGTATTCTTTGCTTCTCTGTTGCCAAAACATGTCTGGGCTGTGATGACCTGTGGGCTTCCTGTTATGCATAATCTTAATTTAATCCTTAATCCTACACATACATACATACATACATATGAACACACACACACACACACACACAGTTTTACTTGTTTACGTGTACATTTATAGGATTTGACATTGCCGTCTTCATTATATCACAATTTATATCACACAATTTTTCTTATATACAGTATAGCACTGATTTGATGCTAAGCTCCATATTGACCTTTAACCTTGTTTTTCTCCATGCAGGTCTTTCTTTCTTCTCTCGGGTGCTGGAAAACTGTGAGGATGAAGCTCGATTTGAGCAGGTCAGGTTTTTCCATTTCCATTTAGTCATTTAGCTGACGCTTTTATCCAAAGCGACTTACAAATGAAGACAATAAAAGCAGTCAAATCTAACAAAAGAGCAACAATGTACAAACCCGATTCCAAAAAAGTTGGGACACTGTACAAATTGTGAATAAAAACAGAAAGCAATGATGTGGAAGTTTCAAATTTCAATATTTTATTCAGAATACAACATAGATGACATATCAAATGTTTAAACTGAGAAAATTTATAATTTTAAGGGAAAAATAAGTTGATTTTAAATTTCATGGCATCAACACATCTCAAAAAAGTTGGGACAAGGCCATGTTTACCACTGTGTGGCATCCCCTCTTCTTTTTATAACAGTCTGCAAACGTCTGGGGACTGAGGAGACAAGTTGCTCAAGTTTAGGAATAGGAATGTTGTCCCATTCTTGTCTAATACAGGCTTCTAGTTGCTCAACTGTCTTAGGTCTTCTTTGTCGCATCTTCCTCTTTATGATGCGCCAAATGTTTTCTATGGGTGAAAGATCCGGACTGCAGGCTGGCCATTTCAGTACCCGGATCCTTCTTCTACGCAGCCATGATGTTGTAATTGATGCAGTATGTGGTCTGGCATTGTCATGTTGGAAAATGCAAGGTCTTCCCTGAAAGAGACGACATCTGGATGGGAGCATATTTCTTGAAGATGGCTAAGGACTCAGCTGCTCGGATTGAGTTGGGCAGGTCATTCCACCAGGAGGGAACAGTTAATGTAAAAGTCTGTGAAAGTGATTTTGTGCCTCTTTGAGATGGCACAATAATGTGTCATCCACTTGCAGAACGCAAGCTTCTAGAGGGCACAGTGGGTTTGTTGAAACCACAAGCAGTTCTGTCTTAGCCAGGTTGAGTTGAAGGTGATGGTCCGTCATCCAACAAGAAATGTCTGTTAGACATGCTGAGATGCGAGCAACTATCGTCGGATCATCAGGATGGAATGAGAGGTAGAGTTGAGTGCCATCAGCATAGCAGTGATATGAAAAGCCATGTTTCTGAATGACAGAACCTAGTGATGCCATGTAAACAGTGAAGAGAAGTGGTCCAAGAACTGAGCCCTGAGGCACCCCAGTAGCTAGATGTTGCGACTTGGACACCTCACCTCTCCAAGATACCTTGAAGGACCTATCTGAGAGATAAGACTCAAACCACTGGGGTGCGGTTCCTGAGATGCCATTTTCCAATTAGGGTTGACAGGAGAATCTGGTGGTTCACCATAGAGACCTGCGCGGGACGGATTTTTCAGTCCTGCTCCCACAAGATTCTGTCCCGTGCCCACAGAAATATATCTTATCTGGTCCCGCTCCCACCCGCGACATTCAGGTTTTGTCCCGCTCCCCTCTGCATAAAAGTAATCTATATGATTTTTTTCAGTGCATCGAAGAAATTTACATGAAATAGTTCTGTAACATCTCCTAAGCTCCACAACATCCCAGCATAAACACTCCAGATAAAATATTTGTTATTTAATGTCATGACTTCGGTCTGATCAGCAGGTTGTTGTTGTTTTGACAGTTCACCATGTGCTCATTGTCTTCGTGGTTTCCCTCCCCATCGTTATCTTATTAACTACTTCAGCTGCTGTCACACCTGTGGCTTGTTAATTCCTTAATTCTCCCTCCTTTTAAGTTCCCTTCGTGTGTAGTCTTGTGTCTGACCGTTGTGGTGTGAACACGCTACTCTTCGTTCGTGATCTACTATTAGTCTTGTTGTGTTCTTGTCTTGCCGTGTTTTCATAGTTCCTGCCTTGGAGTTACCAGAACTGCGCTTTGCGGCCTCTCCTCTCCTGCCCCTCTCGGTGCTGCGACTGGAATGAAGCTGCTTTGCGCGCTAGGTTTCGGGAGGGGCTGGATGATGAGATCCAAGATGAGATTGTTACGCATGAGCTGCCTCGAGATTTTGACTCCCTAGTGGAACTGGCACTGCGTGTGGAGGGGCGTCTTCAGTGTCGCCGTCAGCGGTGGACTGCTCGACCCTCCTGGACATTGGGCGAGGGCGCTTCCAATTCGTGGTTGGTGCAGCACAGCCCTCACGTGGATTGGTCAGGGAACTCTGTGTTATCTTGGAATCAGTCCTGTCTTGCTTCATGTTTAGGTGCTGCCTTGTCTCCTGTCTCCTTGTCTTCTGTGTTTCAGGTAGAGACTGCTGATCTCTCCGGAGTCCCGGCGGAGTACCACGATCTTTGCCGGGTCTTCAGTAAGTCCCGGGCCACGTCCTTACCTCCTCACCGGCCGTACGACTGTGCCATCAATCTCCTCCCAGGCTCTTCTCCGCCTAAAGGGCGTTTGTACTCCCTGTCTGGTCCTGAAAGAGAGGCCATGGACAAGTATATTAAACAATCCTTAAATGCCGGCCTCATCCGTCCCTCTTCCTCACCTGCTGGCGCTGGGTTCTTCTTCGTTAAGAAGGATGGCTCCCTGCGTCCTTGTATTGATTATCGAGGTCTAAATGACATCACCATAAGAAACAGGTATCCTCTGCCTCTGATGTCATCTGCTTTTGAATTGTTACAGGGAGCCAAGGTCTTTACTAAATTAGACCTCCGCAATGCCTACCATTTGGTCCGTATCCGTGAGGGGGATGAGTGGAAGACAGCCTTCAATACCCCTACGGGACACTTCGAATACCGGGTCTTACCCTTCGGGCTTACCAACGCCCAAGCTGTCTTCCAGGCCCTGATCAATGATGTGTTGGGTTCCCTTCTGAATCCTGTTGTTTCTTCCCCGACCCCCCCTCCCCCTCGTATAGTGGGTGGCACTCCAGTGTACACTGTGAGAAAGCTCCTGGATGTTAGACGCCGTGGTCAGGGTTTCCGGTTTCTGGTGGACTGGGAGGGTTACAGTCCGGAGGAGAGGAGTTGGATACCGGGCCGGGACATTCTGGATCAGACTCTGATCGAGGACTTCCGTCGGCGACGAGGTGAGCCCCTCCTGGGTGCGCCAGGTGTCGTCCCTGGGGGGGGAGGCACTGTCATGACTTCGGTCTGATCAGCAGGTTGTTGTTGTTTTGACAGTTCACCATGTGCTCATTGTCTTCGTGGTTTCCCTCCCCATCGTTATCTTATTAACTACTTCAGCTGCTGTCACACCTGTGGCTTGTTAATTCCTTAATTCTCCCTCCTTTTAAGTTCCCTTCGCGTGTAGTCTTGTGTCTGACCGTTGTGGTGTGAACACGCTACTCTTCGTTCGTGACCTACTATCAGTCTTGTTGTGTTCTTGTCTTGCCGTGTTTTCATAGTTCCTGCTTTGGAGTTACCAGAACTGCGCTTTGAGGCCTCTCCTCTCCTGCCCCTCTCGGTGCACTCTACAAGGAACTCTCTGCCCTGACGTTGTGTCGGTACCGACGCTTGGACTCTGTGCGTGGTTCCCTCTCCACTCTGACGTTGCGTCAGCATTGACGCTGGGACTGTGTGCGCTGCTCTCCCTACGGCTTACCTGCTCTGCCTCGTGGAGTGACTGGAGGCTCGTTTGGACTGTTCCCCTCTTCCTGTCTCTAATCACTGCCCTGAAGTACAGCTTCTTGTGTGCAGTACCAGCCGAGTTTGTGTTTTGAGATTAAAATAAATTTAAGTTTAACCTGCAAATTGAATCCGTGTTTTCCCCTGACGGACCCCTTGACATTTAGGCTAAGCATCGACATTCACAAACCATTATTTTTAACAGAAAAGCAAGCATGGGCTGCTGCGTGCATGGTTTGGCATGCCTTCCTTTATTTTCATTAAAAGCTGACATCTCAGTTAATCGCGATCTCATAAAGCTCTGTTATAACACAATAAATATATGCACAATGAATCTTTCACCGTGTCTACACTTCGTGTATTAAAATAAAAGGATTCGTGAGCATGCAATTTCAGCACTGTGGTGAGTAGATTCTAACTTAATCACCTCTGATTGGCCATTGCGTTCCAGAAATCAACAGCTGAGTCTGTGATTGGCTACATTGCGCAACCCTTTAAACACGTGTTATAAATAGAAACTATGCCTAGCTTGCGAATGTCAATCATTTTAATGTTAATATTAGTTGTTCTTTTTGCTTTTGTGCAACAGATAAATAACAATGTATATGTTTTAGACACTTTATGTTTAGATAATTTTTTATTTTGCAGGAGTCCCGTGAATCATTTTATTCTCCCGCATCCCACACACACACACGAGTCTCTTCCCGCCCGCACCCGCACCCGCACTCACCCATCAAGAGTTGTCCCGCGCCACACCCTGTTGCGTTGGGTCCCGCAGGAGTGCAGGTCTCTAGTTCACCATATCAAAAGCAGTGGACAGATCCAGCAAGATAAGTATAGAAGATTTGGAAGCCGCTCTTGCCAGTCTTAGGGCTTCAACAACTGAAAGCAAGGCAGTCTCGGTCAAATGTCCACTTCTGAAGCCAGATTGGTTGCTGTCCAGGAGGTTGTTCTGTGTGAGAAAGGCAGAGACTTGGTTAAACACAACTCGTTCAAGTGTTTTTGCAATGAACGGTAGAAGGGAAACTGGTCTGTAGTTCTCTAAAAGGGTTGAATATTGAAAAAAAAAAAGTCCCCCCTGCTATTTCTCCAGCTTCAGCTATTATCTCAAGAATGTTCAAGCGTGACACTGTAACAATGTAGACCTCAGAGCACCGAAACATATATACGCTACAAATTTGATTCCTCTCTCCCCGAGAGAGGATGTGGGGAAGGAATCACACGAGGAATCAGCCTGCTCAACCGTGACCAAACACATCACATTTAGCCCCGTGATTCCTATTAATGCTATTTGCGCAGACCCTCAGGCAAGCAACACAGCAGTATGAAGTGGCAATAAGCCTGTGGATAAACCAGCTAAATTCCTATTAGGCTAATACAGTTCTTTGAATGATTGCTCTCTTTACTCCAAAATATCGCTCCAGGTCCAAGTCTCAAGCTTACATTTGATAGGTGAATAGCAGGAAAATCTTTGTTACTTTCTCATACTTAAATAAGGCTTGAGAAC